TTACTATGAGCCTGGTACCATTACATAAACCTTTCTGGGTATTTAAATTTTGTAACAATACTATTACTGCTCCCACCTTAAGCTTTATATTATGGGCTGGCATTCCATTAGGAGTAAGCCTATTTAATTGAGCTACGTCATAATCAGCCAAGTTATAAGCAAAAGGATTTTCGCTTGTTGGATTATCTCTCGACAAATATACATGTACTGGTGAATCTATTAAGTCTATAATTTCATCGTTAATTAAGTCTACAATCCTATTTGTCGGAGAAAGAATTAAACGTTTTAAAAGTTCATTAACTGGTGCATTAAAGCCAGTATTAAATACAAATGTATACAATTCTTGTCTAGAATTGACTCTCATTGCTTCAGAAATCATAACGGAATCACCCATCTGACCTGTTCCTATACTATAAAGCCAATCTTTAAACAGAATTTCAGACGGAATTACTCTCATATTTTGCATTAATCTATGTTTTTCAAATCTTCTATATAAATCGGAAGACTGAACTGAAGCTGCGACCTGAGCTCCAGGTGCCGAGGACTCTCTAACCACAGGCAAAGACTGTTTCCAGTCACCAGAAATAATTACTGTCTTTCCAGCAAAAGGTGTATCTTTAAATTGGGGAATTAAAGTACGACACAAAATATCAACATTTTCAAAAACAGTCTTATTAAGCATAGTAATTTCGTCAATAACTATCACATTTGCTTCAATAATTCTACGGCCAAAATAACTTTCTAACGGAATAGATGGAATAATACCTGGTTCAACATCTTTACTAAATCGAAAAGCTGAATGGAAAGTCATACCGCCAGCATAAAAATTTGTGGCAGCTATACCAGTAGATGCTGTAGCTAATACCTTTTGCCTAATTTCTCTTAACTTATAAATAACATAATTAAGGAGAAAAGTTTTTCCAGTACCACCATCGCCGGAAAGATAAAACAATTTATTGTTAACAGAAGGATCTAAAACAGATGCCCTAATTAAATTGAAAAAGTTTTGTTGCTCTTGATTTAATTGAGCTCTATCAAAAACAGAAACATCTATAGTTTCATCCATCTCATCATCATTTAAATTATGTGGAAAGAAAAATGCATCTAAAGCCCTATCTGGGTTGTTTATAATAGGATTATTAGGTAAAGGAAGATTAAATTCACCCAAATTTCGACCCTGACTTAGCAAAAGCTTTTCAATAAGAGCTAAAGCCCTATCGATACGAATTGGTTTTTCGGCTTCTGTACATCTTCTGTCATAAAAATGATCAATAAACATATTCCACAAATACAAACCATCAATTACACATCTTTCAGTACCCCCGAATACAAGTATATTAGCAAACAATAAACGCATTTGAGAAGGATTAAGATAAGTTGATCCTTCTCTTAAAGTCCTTTCCCACACTTCATTATCTTCTAACAAACCCCTTAATCGCCCTGCTTCAACAAATGTGTCACAAACATGACCGTTAACATTTAATAAATTTTCATAAGAGCCTGCAAAATGCTTAGTAAGAAGATAAAGGGCAAATTTTTCAGGCTCGCGTGGTGAAACTGTATAAATTCGGCCAATACGTGGTTTTCTATTTTTATTTTTAGGATCAATTTTCAACTTTTTCCATGTCTTTGTTTTTTTATTAAAGGCATAAGTCTCTGGCATATTTTCAAAAAGGATACTAAAAGTTGGGTCTTTATTACATAAATCCCAATATGAAGTAAGAGGAGTCTCAGGTAAATCTCCAGAATCAATATTCCCGAGTGTTTGATTAGCTGTTTGACGAGTAAAGCAAACTCTCTGATTCTCGGGTAAATGAATAGTTAAAGCCATAACGACATGGGATAAAAATGCATATTTATATGTTAATATTCTAGAGTACGCTTCTGTGGGACTTCTATATATCATTCTAGCATACTGTAGAGGTTCGTCTACATGAATAAGACCTGTAGTTTCACTACGTACATAGGAGAAACTTGAACCTTTAAATGGGTATTTCAAAGCATATTTCAGGTTATCAGTTTGGCCGTACGCAAACTCTAAATTGTGGTGGCATTCAAACATTACAAGAATAAGTGGATTATATGCGACCACTCTAGAGTTATCATAGGTAATTGTGTGCTTTCCCCTGGGTATTTTTAAAACTTCCCCACCATTTTCCGGGCTTGGTCGCTTGTATTCTGCCGGCTTATTTTCGTGTAAAATGGTTATATTACTAAACGGTTTAGGGAAGCCTTTCTTACATTTACCATTCAATTTCTTACAATGCTCACCACAATCATGCAACTGATGACGTGGTATAAGTTCACGAACCTTTCTTATAAAATTAGCCCAAGTCGATTTGTCTGCAGTTGGAGGTTCTTTAGGTATATGTGCCCATATAAGATTTTCGACGTTTTCAGGGGTTGCAGGAATATCAGTACAAAAAACTCGATGTAAATGCGGTCCGCCAATCCTTTTCTGAAACTCCCTACTTTCCCCATAACCTAAAATTTTTCCAAATATATGTTTTTTGTTTAGTAAAAAATGAAGATGTCTTAATTTATCTTCGTAAATTCTACAAATTATATCGAACCTATCCACTATTTTTTGTTTTTTATGGAATAAATTTCTTTTAATTTCAGGCCAGTGTGGATTACTTGTAAACGTAAACATAAAAGAGGCATTTTCAGACTTTCGGGCTCTAGCCATAATGGTTGTAGCGTCATAAAACATGTCCTGAAAATATGGACGTGTTCCTGGGTAATTCTTCCTAAACATAACAATACTCCCAAAATCATCTATGCTATGTGCCCCACAATCTCTTGCCAACCACCTTCTAGCTGATTCAGGAGTGGTAGACAACAAATCTAATTCAGGCCTTCGCAAATAAGAAGCATTATCAGAATCTATACGAGCATTATAATCTAAAGTATATTTTTGACTCAAACCTCCCCCTGAACTCCAAATATTATGGTAATCTTCACCCTTTCTTATGGCCAATCTATACTTAACATAATCACGACAACTAATAGATTTTCTTTGCTTAATTGGGACAAAGCCTACATTCTCGTGATCCGAATCATTACTCTCACTCGCGTCGTCATCCGTTAATTTTCTAACAAAAGGTATTTTATTATGATACCCATCATCACCACATGGGAATAACAAAGGATAACATAATGTGTCAGTTAAAGGGTGGTGTGGTGAAAATTTAAAAATCTTTCCTTGTTCATCAGTTATACAAATACCCTTTAACATAGGAGGTTCATCAGACTCAGTATGTAACGAAAAAAGAGTTTCCTCTGTGGGAAGGTTTACTTGTCTCGGATGTAAATTGTTAGATCGAACATCATCAGGGACTTCCCTTTCTTCTAAAAGCACAAGGCGGAAATTTTTAATCGCATCGGGACCTTCATTTTGTAATTTTTCTTGATATTGGGTGTGAAAATTTTTATAGATATTTGCTAGGGGGTGACATTCTCGTAATAATGTATCCAAATTTTTTAAAATATCCGGATCAACTCTATCTCCACCATACGCAATATTAGACAATCTATGCTGAAAGGCAGTATCAGCATCTAAAATGTACAGCTGAGAAAATGAGGGTCCTGAGTCTCCGGCCATCATCGAACTCATTTTCCTGACAAACTCGCCGTTTAACATATAACAAATTCCACCATCAAGTTTAGTTTCTCGATGGCCTACGAAAACGCTTGCAAAAGCAAGTAAGGAATTGTAAATATTCTGTCTTTTCAAAAATTCTAAGGAACTTTGTGTATCAGCTTTACTCAAATCTTTTAACATTGGTGGATGTGGTCTAAATGGAGGAAGAGAAACTGACCCACATTTACAACAAAAAGAAGATGTAATACGTTTAAATTTGCTTTGATGGGATTCATTTATTTCAGACTTTAACAATAACGCATTACAGTAATAACACTCAGCATCTCCAAAGTTGCCAGAATCATAAAAGTTTACAACGTGCTTAGCACGGACATCGGCACATGGAACTTCTTTATGTTTTCTTTTACAAAACGGGGATATTTCAAACAAAGAGTTGATGTTTATATTCTCGACAGTAATATCAGAAACAATATCTTTATTCAGTTCTTTGATTCTTTCTGAGCGTCTTAAAATACGAGGTGGATCAGGCTCCATATCAACTATAGGAAAATTATTAACAACACAATTATCATGAAAATCGGTACCAAAATCGAGATTAAAATTAAAAACATTTTCATTCACAGGTGTATTTCTAGGATTATAATCAAAAATCCCAACAAAATCAATATCATTTGATAGAATCAGTTGTGAAAGGTGCCATAAAATACGTTTCCTCTCATACTGTATATTTAAATTGGGAATTATTAACGATTTATTATTAAATAAAAACAATTCAGCATAAAGACAAACATAAAACCCGCAATTAATCCCATCTCTTTGTTCAGTAAATTGAGAACGGGGCAAAACTTGAATATTTATATTCTCAACAAAAAGACCAGGGGTCAAATCACAAATACACCTTTTAATTAAATCAACCCGCCTTTGATCATAAACACCACAAGAAACATCGGTTAAACGATTTACAGAAGGTAAAGAGTCAACAAAAATGCAAGAAAAATTAACACGATCAGAACGATCAAAAATTACCAACCCAAAATGCCCAGGAAAAATAATTGGAATCAACAAAATATCATAATCCTGGTTATAATTAAAACAATAATCAAAAATATTAAGAGGCTCAACACCTTGACCAAAATGGTGTTCAACAACAATAAATTGGGGCGAAACAACAACAACATTTAAATTAGAACGATAGGACAAAAATTTTAAATAAATAAAAACGAAACTATCTTGTAACCATACATTAGAATCTGACCACAAACTTATAATTTCGGGCCTTGAAAAAATAATATCATCAGTAAAAATTCTATTTTCAATATTAGGCATTGGACCAAAAGGTATATCTAACATATCAATAGATAAAAATTCAGGAACAAAATTCATATTCAAATTATCATTAGGCCACTCAAAATTAGGAATATCAGAATTTAACACATCATTACAATTTTCTACAACAACTTTCTTTTTCCTACCACCGCATCTTTTGTTTTTTGATGGTCTACCTCTTTTAGGAAACAATGAACTACCAGGTGAAACACTTCGTGAAAAAGAGCTCGAAAAATTACTACTAATCTCACTTTTACTAATATCACTTGCAACGCTTTCATCATAATCTATTACAGACTTTTCTAAAAAAACACCAAAAGAATTTTCAACTAAACAACCATCAACTAACTGCTCACTACCCCTACCACCAACAAAAGAATCTCTATTTAAACAACCATCATCCAAAGCATCATTACCTTGACCTTCTACCAAATAACCCCTACCTAAACAACCATCACCCAAATTATCACTACCATTACCATCAACCAAAGAAACCCTATCTAAAGAACCATCATCCATATTGCGACAACGTTTTCTATTTCTATACTCGCGTTGTTGCAATCGTTTTCGGCGTAAATTTGAAGGCATTTAAAATAATTTAAATAAAATAAATATCTAAAATATCTAAAAAGTATAAATTATTATTTATTTGTATCAAAACGCGAAAAAATAAAAGGAAATACGCGAAACATTAAACGTTAGTGAACTATTTATAAAATACACTTAAAGGATAAAAAAGATACAGAGGATGTGAGGGAGATACAGAGGATGTGAGGACCAACAGAATCTTCGCTGGAAAAACTGTTTTTGTGCTGCTACGGAGGGTAGGCCGGGCATGGTCTTCGCTACACGATGGCCGTGCTTCGCTGCGGTCGTGCTCGCTGCGCTCGCGGCGACCGTAGCGAAGCGGCGGCCGTCGTTCCGCTCGACATGCCCGGCTTCCTCCGCAGCGGCAAAAACTTTTTTCCGCGAAAACCTTGTGGAAGGGGTAAAAACAAACGGTAATAACTTTGTCAAATCAAGTCGAATTTGGCAAGAGATCCCATTATCGCAATTGCAACACTTCAACAGAACTAAACAGGTTCGTCTATTTATCCCCCCTCGGTTAAAAGAATCGCTCTCTATTAATCAGGGTTGTTCCCCGATTAGATGTACCCTTTATAGAGTAGCGTAATGCTGAACTTTTTCTTAAAATCCGGTATAGAACCTCGCTTTATTAAGAGGAAACTAATCACGGTACATTTTCTGATTAGATTTCAGCCTGTAAAGGGGCCATAGCGATAAAAAAACCGACATGACCCCTCTATCCAAAATGAAACCTAATCAGAAAATGCCCCCTGATTAGTTTCCTCTTAATAAAGCGAGGTTCATAGCGGATTTCAAGAAAAAATCCGGCATGACCCCTCCTTTATAAAGAGTACAACTAATCAGGGAACACTCCCTGATTAGTAGGGATCAACTCCCTTAACCGAGGGAGGAAGAGAAACTAACCTGTTTAGTTTTGTTGAAGTGTTGCTGTTGATCCGTCCATCCAAAGCCAGCCCGTACAAATAAAAAAATAAAAAGAAAATTAAAGATTAAATTAAAAAGGGTACTTATTTAATTTCCCCACCAATCAAGTTTTTCGGTAAATGTCTAAAGATGGCCAGTCTGTTAAGATTGTAGAACCCGTCGAGTTGTGTCGAATAATACCAAAATCAAAAATATCCGACTTGATTTGACCGAAATACACACCTTTGAAAATTGAAAACCATAGAGGCGAAAAACTAAAAGGAATGAAAATTTATGCACACGATAGCTCATTCTAAAGAGCTCGTCGTGATGAGTCGAATGACAACAACATCGACAAGATTGGACTTGTTTTGACAAAGTTATGACATAAAACAAAAATAAGGAAAGTCGGCGACTTAAGTCATAACTTTGTCAAATCTGGTCCAACCTTGTCGATATTGTTGTCATTCGACTCAGCTCGACGAGCTCTTTCGAATGAGGTATCATTTGCATAAGTTTTTCGAATTTCACAAAACCACCCCTGTGGGGTCTAAGTTTTCGGGGTCTGTATCTCGGCCAAACCAAGTCAGAGTTTTTTGATTTTGGTGTCATTCGATGCAGCTCGATGAGCTCTACAACCTATAACAGGCTAATAATTTTACATTTTTACCGAAAAAATAGATTGGAGGGGAAAGTAAATAAGTACCCTAAAAAAGACCTGACCACACCCCAAACCCGAATTTTCGAAATTTCATAAAACCCGAAATTTCCCAAAGCAGTTGGGTAAACTTAACATAGATATAATTAAAAGGTCCCAAATAATAATTTACAAACAACCAAACCCCACTAAAATCTCGAAACCCCGAAAAAATTCTCAAAAACCTCAAAAAACGCTCAAAAATGGCAAAAAACGTGTTTTTGCCATTTTTAAGATTTTTTCGAGATTTTTCTCGAAATAAAGGGTTGGGATGTGATCAGCATCCCAAAATAACATAAAAATATAAAAAAAATAAAAAGGACCCCAGAAATTTTCAAAAAAAAACCTAAAAAACCCCAAAAAACTAAAAATTTGAAAAATTAAAAAAATGAGAAAAAAGGCAAAAAATGCCTATGGACAAAATGGTCAGACGGACAAAATGCCCACAGTTTATTCTAACGCCATCTGAAACCCAATTAAAATAAAAAAGGCGGGGTAATAGGTTATCGACTACGGCGAATTTAATGGGCATGGCCATTTTGGTGCCACACTCAAGTGTGGCACTGAAACGGCCGGTTGAAAAATTCAAAGTCTTATAACGGGTTTTTGAGAAGTGGGGGGTCTTGGGGCCTGGGAGCAATGTTGGAGGGTAGATTGTGGAGAAGTTATGCATACTTGACAGCTTGAGTCTCCGATGAAGTTTTGGGGGTCATATGGTTCAATGAGTCAGGGTCGAAGAGTCGACTTTTTTTAAAGGGTCGTTTCAGGTTTCTTCGATAGCCTGTTCGAAAGAGCGTCCCTTGGGGCTCCGAAAAAGGTCTACCTTGTTGGGGGTCCACTTGAGTCTCAAAAAGTTATGGCCAATGTTCGCAAATGTCGCAAATCTTTTTGAGACTCTAACGGTTCGGAGAATTTTTTAGAATTTTTCTGACGCCGGATTCGTACTCAGAGCATATCATAGTACCATATAGGCCGTTTTTTGTGAAAAAATTAAAAAAATTTTGACACGTCTAATTTTTTGCCCAAATTTTAAGACTCAAAATTTACCAAAATATTAAAAAATTCATAACATCCCAAAAATTAACTTTTGAAAATTTTTAAAAGCGTATTAGATAACAAAAATGTTGCTCTATTTTATAAAATAGTTGCAACCACCCTCGGCCTCGATATACTTAAAAAAATTTCAAAAAACCAAAATTTTTGGTTTTTCAAAAAATCGACCCTACCAGGCCTCGGGTGAAATTTTTCAAAAATTTAAACGGCTCAAAAAATTTGTTAATTTTTTGTCTATTTAATGACTCTTAATTCGTTTGGCTACGACAAAAACTTACAAAGTTATGCCCGATTTAAATTTCACCAAAAAATTTCAAAAGGGGTACCCCTTCAAAAATGGGTCAAAAAATCAATATCGAGAAAAATATGTTTTATGGTGCTCCAATAGGTGGTGAATCCGAATCCGAAGTCAGTTTATTTTTAAAAAATTCTTTAAAAAAGTTATAGCCCAAAAAAGGTCAATTTTTGACCCCCAAAAACTCAATTTTTGGCCTATAACTTTCTGAGACTCAACTGTACCCCCAACAAACTATATATTTTTAGAGGTTTCAAGGGACGCTCTACAACATGGGAAACTCAAATCAAGTTTCAATTCACGCGTTAAAAAGTCGACTTTTCGACCACGACCTTTTGAACCTTATCACCCCCAAAACCAAATTCGAGACTCAAGTGGCCCCCAACAAAATTTTAGCCAACTTAGTGCCCTAACATACAAAAAAAGAGTTGGAGCGATTCGGCTTCTCATATGCACTTTTATAATTACATCCAATGGGAGCCACCCTTCCCGATAGGGGTTTTGGACATTTTGGACCTTTGGCACTTTGTAACTTTGTACAAAATGGTCAGAAAAATTTAAACTAAATTTTCCCCGACTGAGCTCGCCGAGAGCTATCGATTGGTATATAATTTGAAAATTGTCGGTGAATTTCGTTGGACACCGTATGTCAAATTGGGACAAAGTGTCTTTTAATGTCGGCAGCACATCGTACTCAAGTGTCACCCCAAAGTTTCCAATTTTTTTCCCACGTTGTAGCCCACATTCTGGGGGTGTGCCCTTTCCCCAAACACTTTTTGATCCGACTTTTGCGTTCCGAGTTACAGCCGTTTGAATTTTTAACTTGGCCGTTTCGGCGCGAAAATACGTTTTGGCGCCGAATGCATATTTTTCCCAGATGCGCCTCAAAAAGTTGTAGGACCCATCCACCATTCAAAAAAATCTCCGAGCAAACCCTGGAGAGCCTTAATTTTTGGCAGCGAAATCACCCCCAAAAGAAGGGGCACCTTGTGGTTTCTTTTAGTATAATATAACTAGCTGTGGGTTACGTATGCGATGGCGCGAATAGCATACTTTGGCGGTAAAATTTTGGGGTGCCCGTTGGAAAGCCTATCGGCTTTGGGGCGCGCTTCGCGCGCGGCTAGAAGGTTGTTGTCACATTTAATATATAATACATTTAAATTATGTAAGGAAGAAATGATCAACCATTTCGTACTTCAACTAAAATACCGTCTGGAAGAAGTGAAAGAAATAAACACGGCAAAATTATTTGTTTCAACTAATTATGATGTGCTGTAAATACTTTTTGAATATGGATATAGCAAAACTATATAAAACAAATTTTTCAAAAAACTTTTACCAACAAATAAATTCAAAAAATAAAAATTAAACAACAAATTGGCAAAAAAATCAAACAAAAAATAACCAAAATAATATCAAAAAATAAATTAAATAAAATTTAAATCAAAATATTTTAAATAAATATTGAATGATGGGCAGTGGTGTGCTGAAACAGATTTTAAAAAGCGAAAGACGAAAAAAGTAAGAAGTGCCAAAAAGATTTTAAAAAGCGAAAGGCGAAAGACGAAAATTGCAACTGCACACCACTGAGGAGGACACTCCGTAAACGCGTACCCCACTTATAATGTTTATATCTCAATTAATTAACCTTTTAAGCATAAACTTTAAAAAAGTTAATTAATTGTAAGTATAAACATTATAAGTGGGGTACACGTTTACGGAGTGTCCCCCAGTTGGACGATGTCCAATAGTGTGGTTATGAGGCTGGTGTCCCCGTGGGCCACTCCCGCGGGAGTTCCCGCCACGTGCAATCCCACGGGAGTTCCCGAAGGACCTACGACCGTTAGATTGCCCGCCGGAACTTCCACCGCGGGAGTTAAACCCACGGTTCGACCGTTCGGCACCACGACGTTGAGGTGGCCCCCGAGTAGCAAGCCCGTTGGCAAGAAGCCAACGAACCGCCCCCGAGTTGGCCCCAACGCCGCGGCCCGGCCTTCCAAAATTTGTATTATTACGGCCATTTATTCGGCCACCTCTTTCTCTTCCTCGGCCTCCTCCTCCATTTCCTCCATTGCCACGACCTCCACGGCCACCAACACCTCGCCCTCCACGCCCACCAAAGCCACGACCTCCACGTCCACCAAAGCCACGGCCTCCACGGCCAACAATTCCACTACTTCCACTCATATTATCAACCCACTGGCGAATAATGTCTAAAATTTTAAATTTAAAAATGAAACAAATTTATAAGTCGACGTTTTTGGAGTCCGAAAAAAGGAGTGGCTGAACATCGATAAATCAGATAAAGTTAAATGGCTTAATAAAAATTCTAACTGTTACAAGCGGTTTTTTATAAGGTATATAGCGTATAAAAGCAAAAATTTTCGCATGCGTCGCTGAAAAAGTTTTACATAAGGCATTTTCATGAAAGTTTTTAAAGCAGCGGATAAAAAAAGTAATGCTTTTTGATATTAAAAAATTCACTAAATGTAATCAAACTTTTTCAACATTAAATAAAATTGTGTTTGTTTTTTTTTAAATCTTTATTTTTAAAACTGCTTACCGCCCTCCAAAGAAGCCACATTCCTTGATAAATTTGATCTGAGTGAAAATGTTGAAGAGATGTCAGAGTTGTTTTGAGTTGATAAATAATTAGAAGAAGATGAAGAAGACATTTTTTCTAAAAATGATTGAGTAATAGTATGTTTCGTACCCCCCACACACATTATTTTATTCTGACCACTTTCTTAATTTAGATAGGCACAGGTTATTAAACTCTGGAGTTGTGACTAATGGAACCAAAATCAATTCTCGGTCTTAATTCTGGGCTAAGATACAGCCAACAATCGTCCGAAAAAGACCCAGTTTTGCACAAGCGTCTCGCGACAAAATTGTATTGTTTTCGTGTAATTTTTAATCTGGTATTTGTGTCAATTTTCCGCCATATTATTTTTCAAATTTCAGGGATCTGTATCTCAGACCAAAGTTAAGACCGGGGATTGATTTTGGTATCATTTGACACATCTCATGAGTTTTATTACCGATAACAGACTAAAGAATGAAAAAGTTGTGAGAAACATTGGAGGGTGGGAGGTATGAAACAAAATATTACCAAAGAAAATTTGGTCTGTAAATTGTTGTTATTTTTGTTGAATTGAAATTGAAAGTAAAATAAATATTATTATAGTTTGGTTGAAAAGTAAATTTTTTGTTATCTGAAAAAGAAAAAAATTTGTAATTTAAGATTTTAAGGTAAAAGTATAAAAAACAAACACAATTAAGCACGAACTAAAATAAAAAACTATTAATATAGGAAACTCGACTACTTACTACAAAAAAGTAAATACTCGACTACTTACTACAAAACTACTCGACTACTTACTACTCGACTACTTACTACAAAAAAGTAAATATAAAAAGAAGGTAGAACGACTAAAAATAAGGAAAACTAAGTAATAACAGTGTACTATAAGATACAATCCGTTTTTAACCATGCTTAGCCGTTGTTATATAATTAGTACACTAACTCATAACAAACGAAAAAAACAAATAATTACAACTATGAAAAGTTTTAAATATATATAACAATGCCCAGGGTACACCACGTGGAGGTGCATGGGGGCAAACGGATAAACCCTGTACCCCGCCCCGTTGGGGTCGGAATTCTTACTTATAGAGTATTGAAGTGGTCTCACTCTATTGGCCATTTTTTATTTTTTTTATTATGGCCTTTTATTTTTAGAACGTTGAAGTGGTCTCGTTCTTTTTAAAGAGTGTTGAAGTGGTCTCACTCTTTTGGCCTTTTTTTATTTTTTATCTTTTGGCCTTTTTATTTTTTATATCTTTTGGCCTTTTATTTTTTAGAACGTTGAAGTGGTCTCGTTCTTTTTAAAGAGTGTTGAAGTGGTCTCACTCTTTTGGCCTTTTTTTATTTGTTATATCTTTTGGCCTTTTTTTATTTATTACATCATCGAAGTGGTCTCGTTCTTTTTTAAAGAGTGTTGAAGTGGTCTCACTCTTTTGGCCTTTGTATATTTTTTATATCTTTTGGCCTTTTTTATTTTTTAGAACGTTGAAGTGGTCTCGTTCTTTTTTAAAGAGTGTTGAAGTGGTCTCACTCTTTTGGCCTTTGTATATTTTTTATATCTTTAGGCCTTTTTTATTTTTTTAGAACGTTGAAGTGGTCTCGTTCTTTTTTATAGAGTGTTGAAGTGGTCTCACTCTATTTGGCCTGGCCTTTTTTATTTTTATAGAACGTTGAAGTGGTCTCGTTCTTTTTAAAGAGTGTTGAAGTGGTCTCACTCTTTTGGCCTTTTATTATTTCTTTTGTAAATTTTAAAGTTTACCCCTAAGAGAATTTAACAAAAATTTTAATTTCATTTCTTCTTTCTACTATATAAAAAATCTAATCAAAACGGATTCCTCTAGCTACTACATTTCTCATAAAAATATTCCCATTATTATCGGGTATTTTCCCAGGTGCGAAAACTCTGATATTTTCCCCACTTCTGCACCTTGAAAACGCGGTATAAGTTTGCCCATGCGCAAAAGGTTCATCGCTAATATCAATACCTAAACGTTCACATGTCTGCCCTTGGGCCTTAGTTATAGTCATGCAAAACGCTACTCTTACAGGGAATTGAAATCGCTCGAAACTAACTTGATCAGGTCTGAGATCTTTATAACTATTTCTTACACGACATATTCCAATTCTAATACCGCGATCCGAGGAACCACTAACAGTTTCTGCTTCTATCAAATCTTGGTGTAAACGCCTAACTATCATTCTGGTACCGTTACATAAACCTTTTTGAGTATTTAAATTTTGTAATAATACTATTATTGCTCCCACCTTAAGCTTTATATTATGGGCGGGCATTCCTATTGGCGTAAGTCTATTTAATTGAACTACGTCATAATCAGCCAAGTTATACGCAAACGGGTTTTCGCTTGTTGGATTATCTCGCGATAAATATATATGAACTGGTGAATCTATTACGTCTATAATTTCATCGTTAATTAAATCTACAATCCTATTTGTCGGAGAAAGAATTAAACGTTTTAAAAGTTCATGAACTGGTGCATCAAAGCCTGTGTTAAATACAAAGTTATACATTTCTTGTCTAGAATTAACTCGCATAGCTAAGGGAAGCATTACAGAATCGCCCACCTGACCTGTTCCTATACTATATAGCCAATCTTTAAACTGTATTTCCGCCGGAATTACTCTCATATTTTGCATTAGTCTATGTTTTTCAAACATTTTATATAAATCAGAAGACTGAATTGAGGCAGCAACTTGTGCTCCAGGAGCCGAGGATTCTCTAACCACAGGCAAAGACTGTTTCCAGTCACCAGAAATAATTACTGTCTTTCCAGCAAAAGGTGTATCTTTAAATTGGGGAATTAAAGTACGGCACAAAATATCAACATTTTCAAAAACAGTCTTATTAAGCATAGTAATTTCGTCAATAACTATCACATTTGCTTCAATAATTCTACGGCCAAAATAACTTTCTAACGGAATAGAGGGAAGGACACCAGGTTCAACGTCTTTTCCAAATCGAAAAGCTGAATGGAAAGTCATACCTCCAGAATAAAAATTTGTGGCAGCTATACCAGTAGAAGCTGTAGCTAATACTTTTTGCCTAAGTTCTCTTAACTTATAAATAACATAATTAAGAAGAAAAGTTTTTCCCGTACCACCATCACCGGAAATATAAAACAATTTATTATTCACAGAAGGATCTAAAACTGATGCCCTAATTAAATTGAAAAAATTTTGTTGGGCTTGATTTAATTGGGCTCTATCAAAAACAGAAACATCAATAGTTTCATCCATTTCATCATCATTTAAGTTATGTGGAAAGAAAAAAGCGTCTAAAGCCCTATCTGGGTTGTTTATAAGAGGATTATCCGGTGAAGGAAGATTAAATTCACCCATATTTCGACCCTGACTCAGCAAAAGCTTTTCAATAAGTGCTAAAGCCCTATCGATACGAAGTGGTCTTTCAGCTTCCGTACATCTTCTGTCATAAAAATGATCAATAAACATATTCCACAAGTACAAACCATCTATTACACATTTTTCAGTACCTCCGAATACAAGTATATTAGCAAATAATAAACGCATTTGCGAAGGATTAAGATAAGTAGATCCTTCTCTTAAAGTCCGTTCCCACACTTCATTGTCTTCTAACAAACCCCTTAATCGCCCTGCTTCGACAAATGTGTCACAAACATAACCGTTAACATTTAATAAAGTTTCATAAGAGCCTGCGAAATGCTTAGTAAGAAGATAAAGTGCAAATTTTTCTGGCTCACGTGGCGACACTGTATAAATCCTGCCAATACGCGGTTTCCTATTTTTATTTTTTGGATCAATTTTCAGTTTTTTCCAAGCTCTTGTATTTTTATTAAATGCATAAGTCTCTGGCATATTTTCAAAAAGGATACTAAATGTAGGGTCTTTATTACATAAATTCCAATATGATGTAAGAGGAGTTTCTGGTAAATCTCCAGAATCAATATTCCCAAGTGTTTGATTAGCTGTTTGGCGAGTAAAGCAAACTCTCTGATTTTCAGGTAAATGAATTGTTAAAGCTAAAACGACATGGGACAAAAATGCATATTTATACGATAATATTCTAGAATACGCTTCTGTCGGACTCCTATAAATCATTCTTGCGTATTGTAAAGGTTCGTCTACGTGTATAAGACCGGTTGTTTCACTACGTACATAGGAAAAACTCGAACCCTTAAATGGATATTTTAAGGCATATTTTAAATTATCAGTTTGTCCGTACGCGAATTCTAAGTTATGGTGACATTCAAACATTACAAGAATAAGCGGATTATAGGGGACTACTCTAGAGTTATCATAAATAATTGTGTGCTTTCCCCTTTTTATTTTTAAAACCTCCCCACCATTTTCCGGGCTAGGCCGCTTATACTCTGCCGGCTTATTTTCGTGTAAAACGGTAATGTTACTAAACGGTTTCGGGAAACCTTTCTTACATTTACCATTTGCTTTCTTACAATGGTCTCCACAATCATGCAACTGGTGATGTTCAATAAGTTCACGAACCTTTCTTATAAAATTAGCCCAAGCAGATTTATCTGCAGTCGGAGGTTCTTCAGGAATATGTGCCCATATTAAATTTTCAATATTTATAGGAGTTGCAGGAATATCAGTACAAAAAACTCGATGTAAATGGGGTCCTCCAATCCGTTTCTGAAACTCCCTACTTTCCCCATAACCTAAGATTTTACCAAAAATATGTTTTTTGTTTAATAAATAATGAAGATGTCTTAATTTATCTTCGTAAATTCTACAAATTATATCAAACCTATCCACTATTTTTTGTTTTTTATGAAATAAATTTCTTTTAATTTCAGGCCAGTGAGGATTACTTGTGAACGTAAACATAAAAGAGGCATTTTCAGACTTTCGCGTTCTAGCCATAATGCATGTTGCGTCATAAAACATGTCCTGAAAATATGGACGCGTTCCTGGGTAATTTTTTCTAAACATAACAATACTCCCAAAATCATTTATGCTTTGTGCCCCACAGTCTCTTGCCAACCACCTTCTAGCTGACTCAGGAGTTGTGGACAGTAAATCTAATTCGGGCCTACGCAAATAAGAGGCATTATCAGAATCTATTCGAGCATTATAATCTAAAGTATATTTTTGACTCAAACCTCCCCCTGAACTCCAAATATTATGATAATCTTCACCTTTTCTTAAGGCCAATCTATACTTAACATAATCACGACAACTAATAGATTTTCTTTTTTTAATTGGAACAAAGCCTACATTATCGTTATCCGAATCATTACTTTCACTTGCATCCTCATCTCTTAATTTTCTAGTAAAAGGGATTGTATTATGATACCCGTCATCGCCACATGGGAACAACAAAGGATAACAAAGAGTATCAGTTAAAGGGTGATGTGGTGAAAATTTAAAAATCTTTCCTTGCTCGTCAGTTATACAAATACCCTTCACAATTGGAGGCTCATCTGATTCGGTGTGTAATGAAAAAAGCGTTTCTTCAGTCGGAAGATTTACTTGTCTAGGATGTAAATTATTAGCCCGAACATCATCAGGGACCTCCCTTTCTTCTAAAAGCACAAGACGGAAATTTTTAATTGCATCTGGACCTTCATTCTGTAATTTTTCTTGATATTGCGTGTGGAAATTTTTATAAAT